ACACGAGAAGTTGTGGTGCTGTAGTCATAGTTATAATAGTAACATGTGACCTACAACAGAGACAATCCACACGAGAAGTTGTGGTGCTGTAGTCATAGTTATAATAGTAACATGTGACCTACAATCCACAGTAGATAGTTATAATCCAACCACGAGACAATCCACACGAGAAGTTGTGGTGCTGTAGTCATAGTTATAATAGTAACATGTGACCTACAACAGACAATCCACCACAGTTGTGGTATGTGATGTAGTCATAGTCATAGATAATTGACCTACAACAGACAACGAGAATCCACATTAGGGCCGAGGAAGTTGTGGTGCTGTAGTCATAGTTATAATAGTAACATGTGACCTACAACAGAGACAATCCACACAGAGAAGTTGTGGTGCTGTAGTCATAGTTATAATAGTAACATGTACCTAACATGATGACCATCCACAACAGAGACAATCCACACGAGTGAGTTGTGGTGCTGTAGTCATAGTTATAATAGTAACATGTGACCTACAACAGAGACAATCCACCACGTTGTAGTTGTAGGTGCTGTAGTCATAGTTATAATAGTGACATGTGACCTACAACAGAGACAATCCACCACAGGAAGTTGTGGTGCTGTAGTCATAGTCATATAATAGTAAATGTGACCTACAACAGAGACCATCCCACGAGAAGTTGTGGTGCTGTAGTCATAGTTATAATAGTAACATGTGACCTACAACAGAGACAATCCACACGAGAAGTTGTGGTGCTGTAGTCATAGTTATAATAGTGACATGTGACCTGGCTACAACAGAGACAATCCACACGAGAAGTTGTGGTGCTGTAGTCATAGTTATAATAGTGACATGTGACCTACAACAGAGACCATCCACACGAAGTTGTGGTGCTGTAGTCATAGTTATAATAGTAACATGTGACCTACAACAGAGACCATCCACAGAAGTTGTGGTGCTGTAGTCATAGTTATAATAGTAACATGTGACCTACAACAGAGACCATCCACACGAAGTTGTGGTGCTGTAGTCATAGTTATAATAGTAACATGTGACCTACAACAGAGACAATCCACACGAGAAGTTGTGGTGCTGTAGTCATAGTTATAATAGTAACATGACCTACAACAGAGACAATCCACACGAAGTTGTGGTGCTGTAGTCATAGTTATAATAGTAACATGTGACCTACAACAGAGACCATCCACGAGAGACAATCCACACGAAGTTGTGGTGCTGTAGTCATAGTTATAATAGTAACATGTGACCTACAACAGAGACAATCCACACGAGAAGTTGTGGTGCTGTAGTCATAGTTATAATAGTAACATGTGACCTACAACAGAGACAATCCACACGAGAAGTTGTGGTGCTGTAGTCATAGTTATAATAGTAACATGTGACCTACAACAGAGACAATCCACACGAGAAGTTGTGGTGCTGTAGTCATAGTTATAATAGTAACATGTGACCTACAACAGAGACAATCCACACGAGAAGTTGTGGTGCTGTAGTCATAGTTATAATAGTAACATGTGACCTACAACAGAGACAATCCACACGAGAAGTTGTGGTGCTGTAGTCATAGTTATAATAGTAACATGTGACCTACAACAGAGACAATCCACACGAGAAGTTGTGGTGCTGTAGTCATAGTTATAATAGTAACATGTGACCTACAACAGAGACAATCCACACGAGAAGTTGTGGTGCTGTATTCTAAACGTGCTCCCTCCAGTTTACATGACTTGACAAAATCATTGAGTGATAAATGAAATATGAATAATCTCCCAACATAGGTGCAAATAATAAAAAGTGAAAGCAAACTGAAACAGTTGAAATTTGAGAGTGACATGCTAAGACGAATGGCTGAGCACTTTGTTAGGAACTTGTATTCCTCGATCCCAATGTGCTTAAATGGTTCCTGGTCATTTCACGTGGGTTGTTTCATCCAGTTTCCAAACTAGGTCAATTCATGCCATATCAGGGGTTGTTTCACCCCTAATCAAGAGTTAAATGCAAGAATTTTATGGATGCCATAAAATTCTTGCCTTTCTGTGTATCACTTCTAAATGCCATTCAAAGACTCTAAGAGTTGTTTCACCCAACTAATTGAGTATACATGGAGAATGGTATTAATGCTTAAATCTGTTAATCCTAATTAGGCAATGTTTTTACAACAATCAGGTAAGTGCTTATGTGTCTGTGTTGAGGTGGAACATAGGACTTAATATCTCATCTAATTTAAACTTAAATGAACACTTAAATCAGGGAAAGAAACCTTTCAAAATTTCCCACTAGATCACAGGACCAGTGAGTAGACAATAATTTGTGGGCCAGTCTGTACTTCACTTTACTTAACTTAAAGCTTACATGCAACGCAAAACACAACTTTGCAGATTCTGATAAGTTTCTTTATGGACTTACAGCAACAAATTATCCAAAATGCAAATTCAACTTATAAAGTAGAAAATACCTCAATGAAAAAAACCCTGCAAAATCGGAGTTCAAACGATTTACTAAAATCACCCCAGCTGGGGTGAAAAGTGTTTTCAACAGCTGTACTGCGCTGCGCTTATGGCTCGTGCACCTGAGTTCTTTCTGTCACATTATGTAATAACACAGACAGGAAGGTGTGATACTTGTACACATGACATCTTATGATGTCTATTGATTGCAAAATGTTATACACAAAATATGAGCATATATTTACAAAACCCAACATCTCTATACACACACAAAGAGCCCTGAGTGTATCGGTAAATGAACCAGCCAATGAAACAATGAGGTGAAACAGTGCTGGGATGAACATGTCTGGGGTGAAATAACCTGTTACCCTTAAAATAATACGATCGAATGTAGACATCCCAAACATTGAGGTAAGTGATCAAAATTAATAGCATTTGAATTTGCCGCTGAAATTGCTGTTTGTATGGCGTTAGCCAACAAACATTGTTTATATAAACTTGTGGCATACCGCTGCAGTACATCCAGAGACCATAATCGGTATATCACCTCTGACTTAGCGCCTCTGCTCTAACAGATGCTTTTCTGTGTACGACCAGTGTGCGAAATAGCCACTGGCCCCCTAGCCCGTGGTTAGTAAAATTCCAGTCGGGCCAGTTAATCTTCACAGTCACTGTCCCAGCTGGCTATTGAATTTTTATGGGGTCATTTTGTAAATACATTACTCTCTCCGACTAGTTAAGTTATAACGTTCACCTACAGAATACCGGTTACCTACCAGCCATATTGTTTTGTGTCACGTCACCCTAACTCTAAACCTTACCCTAACCAAAAGTAAACTTGCGTGCTTTCAAAGATGGTGGAAGGTAGCCGGTATTCTGTAATCTTACCCCAAAATTTGCTATCCAGTCGGGCTAGCTATGCCTGAAAGTTACTAGCCCACAAAATATTTCACTAGCCCAAAATTTGAATGTAGAAACTAAGCAAAAGGTTACACAAAGGTAAGCAGCTAATATGATGGACATTTTTATCAGGCCATAATCTTAATTTAAAAGTGTATTATAACCAGGTTGAGGAAACCTACCGATTGGCTTGTAATAGGTCGAACTGGATACTATAGGCCAAACGGGATATTATAGCCCGTTCTGCCTATTTTGCTATCGGCCTATTGGGCTATATTTGAACATTTTCTAATTATTTCACAAACTATCAATTTCCGCACAAAATGGTTTTATATGATCATGGAGATGAATAGTTCATGGACCTCCTCACCTTGAAAAAAGTAAGTTTTTGGACAAAATGGAAATTTATATCATGTTCAGGAAAAGATGTTTCATTAAGAACACAATTTTGCACAGATTTTCCTTTTGAAAACTAAAACTGAATATCTATGTCTTTAATTTTCAGTGAAAATTGTCAAAAAATATTATAGACTTATATTTGTTTAGCAGTTTCCAAACTCCTTTATTATGTGATGAAAATTCTCAAAAAGGGTTTGAATGAAAACCTGAGGACATCAAAACTTGAATGATGTTAATATCCTCATGCGGAAATGCACCACTTCAAATTTATTTCATAACTACTATAATTATAGCCTGTCAAAGAGTTAGGGGCCTATAGCAAAATAGGCAGAATGAAACTATAATATCGAATGTAGGAAAGAAAGTCACAGGAAAAAAAGTCACGGATAAAAAGTCACAGGAAAAAAAGTCACAATACAATAATATATATATACTAATAATATAATATATACTAGTGAGCTGTAAAATATCTCAATTGTTATAACAGCTTCTGTTTCTGACATAACATAATTAATGAGGTAATTGGGGCGTGAAACCAAGTGCAGAAGAGACCACTGATCAGTGAACAGGGGTCACTCTGTTAATTAAGTAATGAGAGTTGTCTACTGTACGGTACTGTACTTTGTATGCTGGCGATTAGGTACCTGACTGAGGGTGTGGGGGCGGATGGGACTCAATCCAACAAAAGTACTAGAATTTGTACTTTACTAAGAAAGTGTAATCACAAATAGATGTAACATATGTTACAAGTGTATATAATTCTGTTTCCTTCTCCAACTAACATGAGAAGGAAGAAACTTGGTATATGTTTGGCCATGTCCTTTCCCATTTGCATCATGGATTTTTATTAAGAGCAACAATATTTGAAAATAGTATTTGAAGGACACATGTACAGGAAGCACGCAAGTCTGTGATTGATCCTGTGATTTATGGTCATAATTAAACATATCACACAGATAATAAACAGTTATTGTGACTTTTCTCCCTTTGACTTTTTTCCTAGGCAAAATTGTGACTTTATATCAGTGACTTGTTTTCCTGTGACTTTCTTTCCGATCACCATAATATCCCGTTTGGTCTATTATAGGCCCATCGGTAGGTTTCCCCAATCTGATACAACTGGATACTACAACGACCATAATCGATTATGACTTCACAACAATGAACATTATATCTTTCTAAGATTAAAATATTAAAAATTATATGCTGCATATGCTGTGGTGTAAATATACCTACCGGTTAACAAGCTCAAATGCCAAACACGAATTTTGATTTTTGCGCCACTACAGTAAAGGGAGGTAATTTCTAAACAATCCAAAGTACGGATCGGAATTCCTCGCGAAACACACCTACTCATCGACGCTGGAAGATACAGCAAAAAGTAAGTACGCTTTCTACTCTCTATCGCACTGATATTTTTTTTAAACGTAATACAGAACTTATCATCCCTATAAGATGCGTTTGTGGGAACTATATGTTAGCATGCACCGTGTGTGTGATTTATCGTGCGTGTTTGTTGTTTTTTTCACCAAGTGAGATGTAGGTGTGCGTTAAAGCTAGATATATATTAAGAATCACAACTGGAAGACGGATTTAACTAATATTTTGTATGTACGGAAACATGGAATTGGTATGTGAAAAGTACATTTAAACATCTGTTATACTATTTAACTTTTTATATAATGTCATTGCCCACATGCGATGATGTTAACACAGAACCACGATGATTCCATATTATCCCCGATTCAGAATAAGAGTAACCCAACACATTTGAGTCACACACTTTGTGCTATATTTTTAATCAATACTTTATTCACTGCGATTTTAAGATATCAAATAAAGTTTCTATAGTCATTTTATTCTCACTAATATAAATATAGAACGATGAATTTAATGTCACCCATGTAAGGGCACTAGTGGGGCTATCCAGGACCTTGTTAGAACATGGTGAAAGATATTACACCCAGATTAGTCGTAGTTTCGCGAGGACAATTATACCACCTCCTTTAGAAAGACCTATATTTAATTTTGCTTTGACTTTATCCAAAACTCGCCGAACTGGCCATAGGCTATTACTCAACGTTATATTTCGGAAAGTGGACCAAGTACTGGGGATTGGGATAGAAATGAGCATAGTACAGGGGTGGGGGTTTGAGGGGTGGGCGTTTTGGTGGGGATAGGGGCGGGGTTGGGTGTTGGGGTTCAACTGTTCGTGAAAGTGCCCGTACCTGCAACATCCATAAGTTTTATTAAAAGATTAGGTTACATGTTTTCTATTAAAATGTTTTTAATTGGATGATAACATTTTCACAATGTACGTGTATGCACAGTGCACGTATGTTTCTGGTATATATACGTGCATCTACGCTAGTAAAGATCGTATCCCGCAGAAAGATATCTAGCCTCCAGTTTATATACAACATATGTTACAAAATACGTTGCACGCTATGAAATCGACACCATATGTTCCAATAACATTTTGTATCATTTCAAAGTAACATTAAGAGCTATCCAATTTTCATGCATCCCATTTCAAACCTTCTTCGATGTGAGGGTGATTCTGTGTCAAATTAACATCTGAAACGTTCCTTTGCTATTGATACAAGTAATATTGTTTAGATTATTTGATTTATCATATACGTGTTGAACTTTTCCTCAAGCAATCCTTCAAAAATTAGAGGTAAGTTTTTTGCTGGCCAACTCGCCTTGTACTTTAATTTTTGTGATTCAGAAACTATATTTTCACGACATGAAATCACTTCACACTTTTTAAAATACTATTCCTAGCAGTAATATTTCACCTCAGTATACTCTCTCTCTCTCTCTCTCTCTCTCTCTCTCTCTCTCTCTCTCTCTCTCTCTCTCTCATATCCATCAACTGTTTTTCAATTGTCAATGTGTGTGTGTGTGTGTGTGTGTGTGTGTGTGTGTGTGTGTGTGTGTGTGTGTGTGTGTGTGTGTGTGTGTGTGTGTGTGTGTGTGTGTGTGTGTGTGTGTGTGTGTGTGTGTGTGTTTTCTTCTCCAGAACCGAAACATTCGAAACTGGCCTTTTGTAAAGAAAATACTTCACTTGTCAGCATTGATTTCATGGAGCATATGGGGAGCTCTAGCTTAATGCCTTACACGCGTTCTATCTCTATCTCAAAATATTCCTGTTTTATTTCTCCCTGGAACGAGTTCATTGGGGCAATAGATTGATCGCCCGTTTCAACACTGTAATTAAGATACTCCGCTCTGATGACGTCAGCAGTGGCTCTGAACGACATCAAGCTTCAGCTAATAATCTCGGCTCTCCAAACGGCATGGAAGTACTCCAGAACTTGCGATAAAACTTGTCGACAACAAACCAGTTCGGGTTTTAGTTCATAGTCTATATAAACCATGTGTATGATTGGAGATGATATGTTGATTTAATTTAAATCAATCAAATATATTTAGTAGGGTGACATCTCGCACTTCCCAAATATAATATTATTTTACATTTACTGGAATACAGGTTTAACCATGTGTAAATATGTACATCCCCTTTTTAAATAAAATATTTTAACCTGCAAAATTAATATTACTTAATTTAGTGAATTTGGACAATGTTTAATATTTGTCACCCTGATATTGTTTGGGTTATTTTGCACACGGATTGGAGTAACAGACTGACAATAACCCTGTCATTTGTAGTTGACCACATTAACGAGAATTGGATTAAAGAGGTTTTGCTATATATGGCCTTATACTTAACTGATATATTCACTGAGACGTACCTGGGATACATATCTGTAGTACCTGTGCCGACAACGACCCCTTCAGCGTCATTTGTAGTTGACCACATTAACGAGAATCGGATTAAAGAGGTTTTGCTGTATATGGCCTTATACTTAACTGATATATTCACTGAGATTTTTATGTACTGAATATCATACGCTGTATTTAGATGTGGTAAGCTAAAACTGTCGACGGATTGTTTCATCAACAATTGAATTCGAACGATCATGTTCATGTTGAATATCATGTCATCGTGTCCGTTCCCATTTATGGCGATGAAAACACGACTCTTGCTGTCAGGAACATAATGTACGCTATGCGAACGGAATCATCATTCAAAGATAAACCGATGTCGCCGATTGATGCTGAAAGAACACTAAGATTTATCTTATTCTTTCATAAATACCACAGAAATATAACACGTGTCATGTGCCTTGTTACGTAATCACGACTTTCCAATAAAGAGCTTCCATGTCTCTGCGACCTGACCTAGTAATCAAGACATTGAACCATGCAGCATAGTTGGGTCACCGTGACCCAAGTCTGCAAAACTCATCGACATCTATGTTACGACACGGAAAAGAAACGGAATAGGATTTCATTAATGTTTCTTGGCGAAATAACCTTTCATTTCTCTGGGTTCTAGAAAAGTGCAATTTTCTGAGGAGGATTTATAATCCCATTAAATTTAACATCCAATAGTCTGCGAGTAATATTGCACATACATTGTTTCAATAAAATTTAAATCATTTCCAAATAAGGATATGTAATGTACCACTCTGAAATGGGTGTCTGAAAGCAAACTTAAGTATAATTGTCAGATGTAATATTTACAAAAAGAACTCCGATTGAGTGACGGAATAACCTTTCAATTCTCTGGGTTCTAGAGAAGTGCGATTTTCTTAGTTAAATTAATAACCCCATCACATTTAACATCCCATAGTCTGCGAGTAATATTGAACATACATTGTTTCAAGTTTTTTAAAATCATTTCCAAATAAGGATATGTTATGTACCACTCTCAAATGCTGGACGTCTGAAAGCAAACTTGTCAGATGTAATTTACAAAAAAAAATGTTATCACTATAACTGAACCACACCCTGAACAATTTAATTTGGTGCAGATCCTTGGTCTATAAAACAGATCCATGGTCTAGAAAAGTCTTAATGGTATTATTTATTTGATTTAAACTGAAATTATTATGCAGAACTCTCTCTCTAATTCAGGGATAAGTGCGATCACAGGGGTCAAGGTGGTTTATCACAGCCAAGGATAATACCCTTGGTTATAGAGGATGAGCCTCACCACCACCAGTATCATTGTCAGACCAATAAAACCAGGATAATGCAAGGGCGACAAAGATTTAAATAACATGTCTGTCGTTGCCTATACTACCTGGGGAGCCAGCAGGAACAGATAATATGTAACAAGTATGCGAGTAAATATCTATATTGTCTCACATACACATATGCATAGTCAACCAATGTTACAATACGTATTTCATAAGTCACCAGTATGCTAATAATTATTTCATAAGTGACGTATACCAATATATGTATTTAAGAAATACAGTTCGCTCTACCACCATGTATAGCGTAATAAAGCACACTTTCGTCCTGAACTATTATAACAATAAAGCACGAGTGTACACAATCGTCTGATACACTACTGTCGGCGCCTTTGATCTTTCACCGAAGCATCTGAGAATTAAGAAATACAGTTCGCTCGAACAACCATGTATAGCGTAATAAAGCACACTTTCGCCCTGAACTCTCTCTCTCTCTCTCTGTTATCCTTAATTTCGTACGATATATTACGTAAGGTGTTCCTAGGAAGGTGTTTCGTAAGAAGGTGCACCCAAGATGGTGTTCATAAGAAGGTGTTTCGTAAGGTGTTCCCAAAGATGTGTTCATAAAAAGGTGTTTCGTAAGAAGGTGTTCCCAAGAAGGTGTTACGTAAGGAGGTGTTTGGGATCTCTCTCTCTCTCTCTCTCTCTCTCTCTCTCTCTCTCTCTCTCTCTCTCTCTCTCTCTCTCTCTCTCTCTCTCTCTCTCTCTCTCTCTCTCTCTCATGTTTCATGTTCAGATAAAGAACAATAAAGCGCCAAACTCGGTTTTTATACGTCTCAATTGTTGGAGTTGCCGTTTGTCCTCCATGCACGCAGGCGCATGGCACTGACAGTTCGGTACATGCACTCTGGAGAGCGCGGGGCGGTTAAAGCGTTCGCTCGTCAAGCCGAAGACCCGGGTTCGATTCCCCACATGGGTACAATGTGTGAAGTCCATTTCTGGTGTCCCCCGCCCTGATATTGCTGGAATATTGCTAAAATAAGTTATTTTTAAATTCTTAAATTTTGGACCTTCGTTCGCTAACATAAACTTATCTATTGTTAGCTCGAAGCCAGCCCAGCCAATACAAAAAGCACCCGCCCCGTATTTTGCCGGAGTAGGTGCATAACTTTTTTTTTTAAAAATCCCCCCCCAAAATCGCTCATTTTGGAAACTTCTAAAGCACCGGGATCGAATGATGATGGTTTTGATTTGAATAATTTTGGGAATATGAACATTAAAGAAAACCCTTTATTTTAGTTTAAGATGTTTAATTTGGCATTGGCAGTTGATA